CTCAAATTCAATGATAAGAGGCTTGGCCAATGTAAATGTGAAATTTGTGATAGCACATCACTGGAGATGTAATATCCATGTAATCTGTATTTCTGCAAAGCATTGTTTCATATGCAGGGATTAAGATTCCAATGTGTATTTTTGTCTCGTAAATAGCAATCAGCTAAACACACATTTTTTCCAATATCTGCTGGTAATTCATTAATAAAACACCCAGTCATACAAATGATTGCATTTTTTTTTCAGAGTTAGAATACAGATTTTTCTAGATATTATTCATCAATTTCCTTTGAAAATGTTGAAAGAATCTTATCAATTCACCTAATTGTATAACATATTTCCAACCACGCCGTCTTAAATTGAGCCAATTTACTGTATTTTCTGATTTCTATTTTTTCATGGATTGGTCTTAAAAAACAATAAAATATAAAACCTAACTGTATAATGATTTTCTAGAAGTGCAGTACGTGTCTGAATCTTGCATACATTAGGTCCTGAGCCTCCTGTATTCCACTCTTCCTTCTGTTATATCAATGGACAAGGCAGATAAAGGCCAATAGTATGTTAATACCATCAATATCATTGACCACAAACCATAACAATGCAGTGAGGAAAAAAGACATCTGAGAATAGAAACTATCACAGTGCTTGTGTGAGGTTGTGAAAACTCAATAGCTAGTTTTCTTTGAGACAATCAATGACATGAAAACGCAGAACATATCGATGTTTCATGTGCATTGTCGGATCATCAATTTGAACTCCTAGAAACACAATACAGATAATAATGCCAGAAGCCTATCCTCAAGCTGAGAATCTACCTGGAACATCATCAATACCTTCTCCGTCCGTCTATCACGTGACATAAACGCTTGTCACTCGGAGCAATCCTTTACAATGGGACAAAGTAATCTGGATAGAAAAATGCTTGAAGATCTTAAAAAATCAAGATACAATTGAAGAAATTACACTTTTTTCCTCTATCATGCACTTTTAGCTGTTGTATCTCAGGACTATGTTTCACATGTATATATATATATATATACCATAATCGCGAATGGGGCTATTTTTAGCAGTATATCACAGTGGGACTGTTCAACAGGCATATATGAATTGTGACTATTTTGGGGGGTATATCACAGTTGGGACTGTTATTATTATTATTATTATTGTTATGTTATTACATTGGGACTATTTTCCGCACTTTGTTGTGATATCGGCAAAGCGATCGTCAACGACCCGAGCTGCAACAGAATATAATAACAGAGATGTACAGGTATTGAACTGCTGCCTGTGACTAAGTAATGATCTTGCCTGTGGCTAGTTTCCTTGTTCGTGTGATTACATCTTTTTTATAGGAAGGTCAAGGACATATACTTGAAGGGCATGATCAATGACTTGACTCCCACTTTCTATGCCTTTTCATAGAATATTTCCCATATTGACATTGCAACCACATTAACTCGTACTATTTCTATACACAAAGCTCAGCTTGTGACAGTGTGTCTTTCCTCTTCAATGAGCGTCTTGGTTTATTTGAGTTAGTTAGGTTTTACGTTGCTTTTAGCAATATTCCAGTGATATCATGGTGAAGCCACCAATTTGGGGAATAAAACCTAGGTCTTACCATCACAGGATGACAAGCGAACACTTTAACCTCTAGGCTACCCCACCTCTCGTCCCATCCCCCGATATGAAATACAGTTTAGCTAATGAAGTTGGACTAGAAAAACACACTCATCACCAACTTTTTCTCAGTTCATTATATTAAAAGTTTGCTTAGTGAGGATAATTTGTACAGTCTGTCGGTTCATTAGAGTTATTTTCTTCAGAGAATTAAGCTGTTTTGAAAGACTAGTGGAAATTCTGAATCAGAACACTCCATTGTGAGGCGTTTGAAGGTCTGGAAATTATTGAAGAATGTAAATAAGCTGTTGGAAGGTAGCACTTAGCATCCTATGAAGTTGCCCAAATTAATCATCTCTTTCTGCGAAGTCTGATTTATCTCAATCACTTGATTAAATCCTGGACTTTCAGCATGACTTCACACATAGATGCGAGACTTTATGCTTGTGATGCGTGTTCCTGCCAACTCTAATACACCCCACACAAAGTATAATCCTATCCAAGCATTACTCAATACTGTAGCATATCCGATTATTTGCCAGCCAATTACTACGAAAAGAAGATTTCTGTAAAGTTACGTTGAAATCTGAAGTTGAAGCTGTCACGCAGATCTGTAGGATTGTCCGTTTAGCCCAGCTTAATGAAATGTTTTGTCAACCCCTTCACTAACACCCTTAATCATCCCAATCCCCATGAAATCTACCAACGTTTTATCAGTTAGGGGTTATAAAGATTGAATGCGAAAAAACTCCAACGTGAAACATTGGCTATAAACTGATTGTTGTTGATTGGTGTACGATGCGGATCAGCACAGAGGATTGCCTATTACAGCCCAGGGAGTAGGTAGTAATGAAGGATTTGTCGATTAAATCAGGCATAATGTCGTCACGCTAAATCTTGCCCCGTCAGGACTAGAATTGAATAGACTGAGTAAGTCAAGTCCACACCAAACCATCATGAAATCTGTTCAGTAATAATCAATATCAGGTCCCTTATCAAACCTTGAGTGTCATATTTCCCAGAGGCTTGTCTGAGTGCCCACAAAAGTGTTAGCGATTACATGTAAAAAATACTGGGGCCATAGATGAAGCTCATGTGATCTTTATTCAATGGAACAACAGGGAACCAATCCTTCAGAGATTTTATCAATTTACAGTTTTACAATATAATGCTTGCACATTTTACAAGTACCTGGTAACATATTTCCAAAATATATATTTTTATGAAAGCACTTTTATTACACATAATTCTAATTGTGTCCCCATATCAATGTCCTATAGGAAAACACTCAGTGCCATGGCTGTTACATTCTTATTTAAGTTTAATATTTTCATTTTAAGTTTGAATGTCCAATTATGATACATATCCTTTCTATTGTAAAAGGGAACATAAAATTTCATATGAAAATTAAATTAGCTATATTATTACATCTCCAGGACCAATTAAGTCCAATAAGGTACATATATCTTTTCATCTCTTTGAGTGGGAGTTTGCTTGATGCACAGATACAACAATTCTTCCACAATGCTTGGCCAAGACAATGCACATGTTATGAGCACTGGTACCCAGCTGTTTCACAGCAAGCCTTGGAACTAGCTATGTTTTAATGAAACTGGAAATGTTGTTTAAAAGGTTTGCAATAATTACATCCAATTACTATCTGAATGAAATTTGCAGCAGTGTAAAGTGGCTTGGAGATTTTTCAATTGGGACACATATGCTTCACTCTTTCCAAACACACCCAACTGTTGCAACAAACCTGTTGGCACAACTCTTTAGCCAATATCTCAGTGCCAGAGATCACCAGGCTTGATTATTGGCCAAAACACATGGTACCGGATGTATCAGCAAAGCGGGTGGTGGGGTAGCCTAGTGGTTAATGCATTTGCTCATCACGATGAAGACTCAGGTTCGATTCCCCACATGGGTACAATGTGTAAAGCCCATTTCTGGTGTCCAGACATTGCTGGAATATTGCTAAAAGCAGTGTAAAACCAAACTCACTCACTCATTCTCTATAAGCAAAGCAGAGATGGAAACACCATGAAAGGACTTCGACATCAGGGATGACATCAGGTGTTAGCTAATGGGTGTGGGTACGAACGGGTACAGGTATGAACGGGTACCGGGCCCACAGCCTCACCAGGGCCCACAGCCTCACCATGCCTCACCACCAGGGCCCACAGCCTCACCACCAGGGCCCACAGCCTCACCACCAGGGCCCACAGCCTCACCATGCCTCACCACCAGGGCCCACAGCCTCACCACCAGGGTCCAGAACCTTATCATCTGGTACCCAGTCGTCAGCTCTTACACCAAGCACTGGGCACCTGTTGTCACAAGAACACCGAATGGTGCATGTTGAAAACGATTTTGATATTTACGAGATTAGTTGAGGAATACAGAGTGAATGATTTGTAAAGTGTTACAGCATCTGCTGAGAGGTGCTAGTGGTGGAGAAATTTGGCAACTATCAGCAGTGGGCCCAGTGAGACATAAACAGGCCACACAAACAAGTCACTCTTCCCAGTGGGGGCCAAAGAAAAAAATAATACTATGTATAAACCACAATCAGCACTCACAGCAGGGATAACAGGTAGACATGTGTACAACAGGGATTAAAGGTAGACAAGTGTACAACAGGGATAACAGGTAGACATGTGTACAACAGGGATTAAAGGTAGACAAGTGTACAACAGGGATAACAGGTAGACATGTGTACAACAGGGATAACAGGTAGACACGTGTACAACAGGGATAACAGGTAGACACGTGTACAACAGGGATAACAGGTAGACATGTGTACAACCGGGATAACAGGTAGACACGTGTACAGCGGGGATAACAGGTAGACACATGCATAGCAGGGATAACAGGTAGACATGTGTACAACAGGGATAACAGGTAGACATGTGTACAACAGGGATAACAGGTAGACACTTGTATAGCAGGGATAACAGGTAGACACGTGTATAGCAGGGATAACAGGTAGACACGTATACAGCAGGGATAACAGGTAGACACATGTACAACAGGGATAACAGGTAGACACGTGTACAACCGGGATAACAGGTAGACACGTGTACAGCGGGGATAACAGGTAGACATGTGTACAGCGGGGATAACAGGTAGACACGTGTACAGCAGGGATAACAGGTAGACATGTGTATAGCAGGTAGACACGTGTACAACAGGGATAACAGGTAGACACGTGTACAACAGGGATAACAGGTAGACACGTGTACAATAGGGCTGGAATGACTAGAATGTGGGTCCACCTGAACTAAATGTGCACATGAAACTACCTGGGTTTTACATTCAAGTTGGAATGTTCTTACATAGGCTATGTCCCTTTTCTGAATATCAAAGCTACTTACAAGTCCCTTTGGTGCATTTCTCCTGAAGAAGGCCTTACAAGACTCGCAGGAGATGGCGTCAAAGTTGTAGCCAAGGGCCCTGTCCCCGCACACACCACAGTATTTATCTTCTTTATTTTTCCGGCTCTTGTTGCCTCCCATTCCGTCCGGGGACACTGCATCCATGGACCGGAACGGATGGGAGACCGATTCCATGCTGTTGGAATCTTCGAAGCTGAAAAAGAAAAAGTTCATTTGAATACTGTTTTATAATATGGATATCAAATTAATCACCAAAGTCAAAATATTCTGTCATCAGAAGAGGAAAGAATATCAAACAAGAAATACATATTTGACATTTACATATAAACTTCATCGTTTAATATAGAAAAAACAACAAAACTTGCTCTTCTTCACAGAAGCAGAAACATGTCATTCATTATGTTGTCAAAAATGTATCACATCTAGAAGGCACTCAAAAATGCTTTTGTTGCCAACTAATACAAAAAAGAAAGAGGCCTGCTTATATTTTCCACACATGACAAGTCGTTAAAATACATGTCATGCTGACAATGTTTGAACGATGGCCCCTAAAAAAACAAACATGCAATAACCATATGCCACTATATACAAATATTTACAGAACTCTCACCAGTAATAGGGAAAAGTCCAAAACGAATTATCGATAGTTGTGAACATGATTGCCAATTCAACACTGACTGACAACGGTATTGAAAATTCATCAAATCAGGAAACAAGCAAAATATTTTTTCCCCAATCAAATAGAGTTTATAATCTTTCTGAAGCAGTTATTTCAAAGAATGAGTCCATTTTAATAACATCCTTGTGGGATTTCCTCAATCAATGTGGTGACCTTGATGTGTTTACAGGTCACATGATGTCCATCCCTTTGTGACTAATACTTCCTTGATCAAAACAAACTAGCAGCTAGGGCCCTAGAGGTTTGCATGTCACGTTCAATATCTACATTCAAAACTTCCATCATTTTAACAACTTTGAAAAAGAGTTTTTTAAATCATTTACGACCTTATAATAAGTGATTACATCACTATTACAGACACACGTTGATATATTCATATTACAAAGAAGTTGTGTGTTCTAATGCTCAAGGTATTCAATTTATTTGCAATAAAACAAACACCATGGACACAAAATCAGTTTATAAAAAATCTTTATTTGAAATACGCCACAGATTTGCAAGTTCAAGTAAGTACATGGCAGGTTGTGTGTGGGTTATCAATTTTCCAACATAAGCATACTATTCTTGAACATGACACCAAAGTGGAGACTTAACCATGTGAGAAATTTCCAGTTAAGTTATGAACAGAAACGTAGAGTGCCGGGGAGCTCTGTTCAAAGCGTTCCCTGGAGCTGAATGAAATGAAATAGTTTGCAATGTTATATCTCCCAGTCATGTGACAGGCTATCAAGAAGGGAAAGACCTCTCCCAATCTTAATTCAACACCTCTACCTCTCTCTGCATATACCGGGGACAAAGCCGCAACTATTTGTACCGAATCACCCCGCGACCCAATTCACCATGTGTCATGGCCTATTCAAGCCATGACCGGCATGGAAAGTAATTAACGACTTAAACCTGCCATGTTAAAGATTGAAATGGGGCTGGAATCCCTTAAAGGGGTTTCTGTGGGTTGGTCACAAAATCTTTGTATATATCAGCTGCTCAGGCGAAACTCCCCTTGCTTCTATTCTTGGACAGCTCCCCAAGCTGAATAAATCATGCTGTAATAAGTAGTATTCAGACCACAAAATCCCTCAGCACAAAATGAACAGGGCGATAGGGATATCTGTTTACATGAGAGTACCATAAAGCAGCTACTTAGTAGCCGCCATAATGGGAAAGTTATGTGGGGTCAGTCGGTGCAGCTAAGGCCCACAACAATGGTGTCCAGCTTGAGGAATTTCTGGCTTGACTTGATGAGCTACAGTAATATTTTCTACAAAGGGACGTGATGTTCTCAACACATTTTCCTTATTCCATTGTATTTTTCTTTGTTCAGACTACAATACGAGAAAAGGAAAAGGGTATGTGTATAAATACATCCAAAATGACAATACTATGAGGGGTGAAAGGATTAAATGAGCAAGAATATTTTGAAACGAATCATAACAAAAACTTTAATTTTCCACTAACAGGATTAATTTGGTCACTGAAGGCTCAATCAAAACTGAAATTATTCCATTGTTGTTTTAATGTTAAGCATGAGAACTATTACAAATTTGTTTACAACATCTGAACCTGCTGACATGTATTTAAAAAATGCAAATGACAAGAGAAGATAGATGTGAAACAGTCTCCATGGCTATAGCTGTTGTCGAGCCAAGTGATGTATGGATGAAGTATGCTCCTGTTTAGACTGATTTATTGTACTTGTCACTGACAGCAGCCTGAGTGTATTCAAGGCGCCAATTTTCTACAGGGGGGAAATATTATGCTGTCCTGATTTAACAGTCCCCACTCACCCCTTACATAAATAGATGAGAGTTTTCCTAATCACACATTTCAATTACGCCTTGGCATTGGAACCAATTTTCATTTTAATTGAACAAATATTAAAGTTAAGATGTTAAACAAAATGTATAGGATATATTTCAAAATGGCTGAAATTGTTGATTTAGCACTGTTTTTCCAAGCAGATTGCTTTTAGGAGTGTGTTGATTAACTTCACATTACATACATATCAAAACAAGCCACCAGACCTGACATACTTTCACAACACAGGCTGTAAATGATGTTGATGGCTAGCATCATGTCACAACAAACTTAGTGTGACTCACTACCCAGTGTTTTGTGTTTCTGTTTGACCCAGTCACATACCAGGCTGTGTGGGACATTTCACCCATGTATTGACACTCAGTCTACTTCATATATAACCAGCATCTTTCATTTATTTACTTGTCCTCGTCGCAAACAAAACATGAACACTCAACTCCATTTTTATTGATGCCAGCTAAATTACGTCAAGGTCTTGGTCATATAAACAAAAGATATCAATTCTTCAAATAGCATTATTTTACTAATATCTAATAAATCGGCAATCCTGAACATTTGATTGACAAACACCCTGTCCAAAACTCCACAGATAAAAAATCATGTTGTTTTTCATGATTTGACAAAACAGAACATTTATATGATTTGAAACTTTCATAAAAAATGTATTTATTCAAAATCTAAGAAAAACAGGTCACTGTAAATGAGCAATTGTTGTTAGCTGTCTTCTCGAATCACACAAAAATCGATAGAACCAACATCATGTTTACAAATGACAAATTTTCCCAGACATCCCACGACCTAAATTCACAGTGCCTGTGGGCGAAAAAAGCAAAAAAAAGCTGCCAATAATGGCCGTGATGACTAAGGCCCAATGACGTTTCTCCTTGACTAAATGTGTTAGATATTACTGTTTGTTAGCGTGTTGCACTCAATGACTTCTCCAACTTCTCGCGCTGTGCAGTTGAGACCAAGTCAGGGATATCTGTCGATTCAGCAAGTCAATTTGTGAGTTGGCTGATCACAGCCGCTTTGCATCCACATTTCTCATTCATACAAGGCCTCTAAATATGGCTTGCTTCCGTGCCGCGAATTACTCTTTTAAGAACTATACAAAAAATGCCTGCATTTGATGAACTCAAGTGTAAATAAATTATATCATTTCGTTTTGAGAATCTGATCAGTGCCAGATGCTGATTATTATATCTATAATTCATCATTAGAAGGATCCAATCAACATAGATCATATTCTCTGTGATATTTTCTTATAAGGCTAGGGTTGTCGCTATTTTACAACGCCACTCTCAGATTACAAATATTTCCTTACACTGACCAGAACCCATTGCCATCAATGTTTACTTGTATATAGAAAACAACATCCTTTCATATAGACCTAAACTCATGTACAAACAGTCTTAAGGATATCAGTTTCATGTGGTTCAAACTGCACAACTATTTCATGACAATTTTCACACACAACAAACTTGAGCTTTTGACCACGTAACATGAAATAATCCTCCAGCCCTTGCAAGAAACACGGACACGTAAATATGACATACAGACATTTTCCCCCCTTTTGGCAGGTACGTGAATTATGAAAGTTAGGAAATCGATATGTGTGTACACAGGAAAGCAATGAGTTGGGGGAATAACATAATCTATCATTTCGTAGGAATGACATGTCCTCAGAAGGCATCCTAAACAGCCCACGACTTGTAGTGGTTGTTTGACTTGCGACAATAAAGCATTTTGTGAACACATTCATCCAAAATATCAGGAATTTATTATAGGTCGGGGAAATCTTTGACAAATAAGGAGCACAAAAATATTTAAAACAGATCTGATTTTTTATTGACATTTAAGCCACATTAGTTTTTGCAAATAAAATTATCCCATTTAACAAGGGGGGATTAATGAGAGTTTTTTGCAAAATGTTGGTGATAAAAACCTTTTAAAAATGGTTCTATTTATATTAAGAGTGACATCAGGATTTGGGAACAAATTTATTCTATCAAACAAAAAGGGATTTAATTCATGTCTTTGTGAGTGTTGGTTAAAATACGAAAATTTAAACACAGTTTCTACATTTCTATCCTGTATTATTCCATATTCAATCCCTATCTCCATAAGGTTTCACTCCAACAAGTAAAGGCTGCTCAGGTGTCGGAGAACGTTGATGAATTATAACATCAAACACTTGCCACAACAACCTCACATCCCTAATGACGGACACAACATGGGGACATAATCTAACAAATCGCACTCAAACAGACAGTCATCTTATGGCAATTTTCCGAAAAAGTTGTACATGATATACAAACTGAAATCTGTCCAAGACAAAGTTTAAGAGTCACATGGCTTCATATCAATCTTCAAAGACAACGACATCAAAGACTACAAATGGATGGATGCAATGTTCGCTATGCGGAGAGAATACGCTCTAAGGTAAACATTCACACGAACATTCAAGCGATGCCCCAGCTTAGGACTTGAAAGAACAACTGTGGATTGCCAAAGACGTCTCTCCTGTACATAAACATTACACGAAATTCGGCTGACATTTACCCAGGGACAGGTGACCCGTCTTTCAAACTTCGTCCCATCTTGCAATCAGGGCTTTGAGAAGCCTCTTTCCGCTCTAAGAAGTACGACTTGGCAAGATTTTTATCTTGCTCACGCAACATCAAAATGTGCCAGGTTTG